GACGGAAATCTGTCCGTTTCGTTAACATTTGGCTCACGAAACGGACGGAAATCTGCTGTGAATAGAGGCGTGGAGCGCAGCCAGAGAGGAGCGGGCTGCAAGACCCCGCAGGGCGCACCCAGAGAGCTCCTCGCAGCACTTGGCTCTTGCACCCAGACTGCACCCAGAGAACAGCCTGCTTCACAGCACTTTACAAGCCAGGAAAAGTGATTGAATCCTGGGTATACATTTTTTAAATGGTCTGATACCTCAAGGGCGCATCACCGCATTTTACAAGCCGGGGAAGCTGCCTGAATCCTGGGTAAACATTGTTTAATTATATAAGTGTTTTTTAATGTGTGGAACAGTGTTTTGTCTCTTTCAAAACTCTCCCGTCATTGACCGGAGAAATTGGGTCGATGTTGTATTCAATCTGACCGTTAATATTCCAGAGAGACGAAGTACGTACAATGACCGGAGTGGTCCCGTGTTAATTTTGTCCCAAAACCGGAGCATTCCCTCACCCTGCCCCGTCTCTCTTCCAGGAAATGGGTCTCTGACACATTAAAGACCTTTTCTCTATATCATAGTTAATAAACATAGTATGGAAAGTTTCTCAAACTTATTTTTTAAACTTTTATACTGATAACTCACATTTTGGACAGTGCTGTAAAAAAAACGGTTTCCCAAGTTCCTGACTCCCTAATTCTGTCGCCCTTTCTCGGACCACACTCATCTTGAAACTTGTGACACCATACTACACCAGGGGCACAACGTAGGGGGATGGGCAACGGCACCCTGGCCCTCATTACTCGCACCACACCAACATTTCAACTCGACTTTCATTTTGAACTCAACTTGAAATATGTGAATTCTCCTGTATTTTGCTAAGATATTGAGAAAGGTAATCCCACTTTCTCTCGAATCAGGAAGTAAGTGTGTTGTTATTTGGGGTAAAGAAGAAGGTAATGTGACTGAAATGACAAGAATATAATGGGATAAACTTTATTTTAAAGAACAACCATGTCTATCAATTGTAGTAGGCCACTTGTGGGGAACTTCTTATCAGTCTTGGACAATGGTGTCTTTCACACATGCTGTTTATCAGATTGGAAAAATGTTCTATTTGAATTCCAGGCTTGTGACGGTTTATCCATTGGCCATAGATTTTAACTGCTTTATTTATTTTTTGGTTTATTATTGATGTTTGTTGGTGGCTAGGAAATCATGTTGTTGTTTTTGGGCTTTACCTCAATGTATTTCCAAGTGAAAAATAAAGGTTGCATGAAAGTTCTGAGGAGTTTGAAAAAGTTGAAACCAAAACAAGTTAATGACTTAGTGAAAGGCCCTGAGGGTTGCCTGTAGGGCACTGGGACGCCAGCACACTCTCCTGGCTGGAGTCCCAGTCTCCGTCAGATTATAAAGAGTATGTACAGTTCACCTCCGTCAGGCTGGAGGAGGTCCCGGTCAGAGGTGAGCCTCACACACTCTCACACACACTTCATCAAACTTTCCCCTGTTTACTTACTCGATCAAATCTCTAATCTCTAATAGCTTCACTCCAAGGCTTGAGCTTTAAAATAACTTTATTAGTTAGTACACGCAAAAATGTAACTATCTCAAAAATATCAGATTTACTTTATGAATTATTTTATTTAGTAGGGCGTTTATTGAATTAGCTAACATACCTTTGTTAAGTCTCTTCGTTTCTAACTCTAGCCCTAACATTTTCAGGATGTTTTATTATCTGTTTCTATCTGTTGTTTATGGTCTAAATGTGGAGTTATTAAATGTCCAAAATGAATCATAGATATCTGTAATTGAGTTTGTATAGAAGTCAATAGTAAAACGTGTCCAGGTATCTAGAACTCACTTCTCTTGAGTTCTTAATAAGTTCTTTATTTCAGTTTCTGACTAATGGAAATCTTCAGTGTACATACCTGGAACTTAATAACAATTCTTCTCTTCTACCTTTGACTTCTATTCAAATTAAATGACAAATATGTATTACTTTTTATGTTGATTTGTTATAACTCTAAGCTGACATATTAATAATGCCGTTCAAACTAGTTCCATTCTAGAAAATTGGATCAACAGCTCAATGGTCGCTTGGAAACATGTTATTAATTAATATAAACATGTAACTATTGATATGTCTTCTTTCAAAGGTGGAAAGTAACTAAGTACATGTACTCATACTGTATAGTACAATTCAGAAGTACTTGAGTATTTCAATTTTCAACTGTGTACTTCTACTCTGATTAATGATGTGAAATATAATCATCTTGATGATCATGTCGGTACATATCTGAAATCCCTTATAAATATCTTTAATCTTGGAAATTCAATTGTAAAATAATATTTTCCGCACACAATTTAAGAAAGACATTTCAACGCAGTGATTGCCAGTGGAAAGTCTGGGCGAGACCCCTCGGATAAAATACTTTGAGTGACCACAACTCACGGAAGATGCTAAATATTTCACCGTGACTGTTAGCGCTGATCTTTGCGAATTGGTATGACTTTGCAAAGAGGCTCATATTAAAGGGGACATTTTGCACCAAATGTCTCTTCACTTAAATACTTGCAAATGTCACATAAGCAGCAAAATGCTCTTTTGTATGATCAGAGTTTGAGCTTCATTTTGGAAATTAAATATTTACTTTTTTTCTAATTGTTGCAGGTTTAGTGTTCGCAAAGGACTTTAACTGTGAGTTCGGCCTTCAGTTACAAAACATGCAGCATATTTAGAAGAACCTTTACCACTTTACAATAAGGCTACCATTATAAAGGATCCATAAAGGCTGTATAATTAGGTTTTTAATTAGGTTGTAAACAATTTATTCATCATTAAGAACCATTTATAAACCAGTTCTAACATAGTTTTCGTACATCAACACAGGCTCACTATTTGGCAAGATGACTCAACTCAGTGAGCAACAGTTACCAAGGATGCTGGCAGATGAAGAAGACAAAGTCAGTTAAGTAGCCAATATAAGGCAGTCATCTTGCCAAATAGTGAGCCCACATTTACCTGTACTGCTATATTGGCTACCTAGCTTACTTCGTCTTCTTCATCAGCCAGCATCCTTGGTATCTGTTGCTCACTGAGATGAATCTCCCCCTTTCCATCTTGATGTTTCTTGGCATCTCTTATGACCATTTATGTGAGTTACTAACATTTATAGTTGCCAACAGCCTTGTAAAGTGTAAAACACATTCCCATGTATTAATGAGTTACTACCATTTATAATAAGGCTTAGCAGTACAGATCAGTGGGCTCACTATTTGGCAAGCAACCGGTCAGAGTTGCCCTGTTTATCTCATGTCTTATAAAAGCTTATTAATGAATTACAAACTATTTGTAAACCTTTTATAAGGATAGTCTTATTGTAAAGTAGTACTGAAGATCCTTTACACTCCTGTAGTTTCCTTTGTTTGTAAAGTGTATTTAACTTTGCACTGCGCATCACAGTAACTGTTCTCTCTGCAGGATCCTCCCCCCGCAGAATGGAGAACCAAACTTTAGATTTGGATGTTCTAATTGTGGAGGGGTTAAAGGTCACGCCTCAGTCCTCCGTCCCTGCCTTCATCCTCCTCCTCATCATCTACATCTTCATCATGGTGTCCAACATCGGCCTGGTGGTTCTGATCAGCATGGAGCGCAGCCTGCACCAGCCCATGTACCTGCTGTTCTGCAACATGAGCATTAACGATGTGTTCGGGGCCTCCACCATCATCCCGAGGATCCTGAGTGACGTCTTCATCCCCATGTCTCAGCGCTTCATGTCCTATGATGAGTGCGTCCTCCAGGCCTTCTGTGCTCACCTCCATGCATGCATCGCTCACACCGTGCTGATCATCATGGCGTTCGATCGCTACGTGGCCATCTGCAACCCTCTGCGCTACGCAGCCATCATGACCCACAGGATGGTGCTGGGTCTGTCGGTGTGGGCGTGGTCGATCTCCTTCCTGCTGGTGGGGATCCTCATCGGCCTCAGTGTGCGTCTGTCTCGCTGCAGGTGGTTCAATGATCAAAGATGGGTTTGTGTAACAGTAAACCAGAAGACATGTGTTGTCTGGGGATTCAAAATGGATGAAAGGAATATAAAAAGATTAGAAAACTGTCAAAATAACTCACGGAAAGACT